CATGCCCACGACGTGCATAAGTTTGCTGCTTTGGCTGCCATCTTTGTCAACATGTCTTGGGTTGACATTCGGGCACTAGGTCGAACAGGGTCCTGGCCGCTTGCTACTTTGTCAGTGTCCCTGGACCTCGTAGGGCCTGCATTGCATTGGGTCGGCAGTTGCAGCCAGTTGTCTCGGCTTCACGTTGAGGAGTGAGGACTGACCGCCGCCCGGGTAAGTCCTCACTCCTCAAGTCGCCCGGTGTTTCTCCTTGTCTTTGGGTAGTTAGCTCCGGGGAGCTGACGAGGGCTCCCCCCAGAAAACCTGCGTTGAATGTAATGAAATGCCATTTTCTGTGAGAGTCCTGGAGGCTCCCCGGCATCCCTCCTTCCCTCCCTCCGGTCAGCAGTGTTTTCATATATTTTGACCTCCAGCCTATAAACTGCAGGGTGGATTGCCAGTGTGGGGGTCTGGGGCTCCCTCTTCCTCCTAGGAAGGGAGGGGTTGTGCAGACTGCAGTGCGGTGACATGATGTCATGATCATTTGCTAATTTTCGTTTGGGAGTTCTGTCCACTCGTTCGACTTTTGGTAGCAATAGTTTCACCAGAATAGGGGTTTATTTTGGGGCGCCTACCTTTCTGGGTGCCAGATCCAGTCGATGGCAGACATAGAATGCTCCCAACCAAACAGGGGTTTCTATAGGTCATTGCTCCTCGTGCCTCTCTTGAGAGGGTGGGGGCAGGTTCTGGCTCATTGTCGCTGGTAGGCAAGAACTCCGTGTACATTGACTGATGCCAGAAAGTTATACATATCCATTCAACCCGAATGGATATGTAAAAAAAAAACTGCTTTTCTTTACATTAAAGCTGGTTTTTAAAGTCTAATTATATCTTCACAGTTGATAGATTTTAATCATTCTTTACAGGGATGGTCGGGCTAGTGGATCAAACAAATTGGAATCTCAAAGAGTGGGAGACATCATGTTAAAAAATATGAATATGTTAAAGGTAAGAACAAGTCCTAAGAATCAGTAATTAGTTTATTACACTCTACTAACAAGTTCACAAAATCCAATGAACAAATTAAAGAACATTCAGATTACAATTAAGGCATAACTAGTTGTTTGGACAAGATTTTTTAATTGCCTGATAATCTAGATCTTTGACCTGATTTTGCCAAGGTTTAATTAGTTCTTTCTTTGCCCCCATCTATCCAGTTTGCTTATCAAATTGGGGCTGGATGAACATACATACATACATACATACATACATACATACATACATACATACATACATACATACATACATATATATGTCGTACCTAATAGCCAGAACGCACTTCTCAGCCTACTATTCAAGGCCCGATTTGCCTAATAAGCCAAGTTTTCATGAATTAATGTTTTTTCGTCTACCTAACCTAACCTAACCTAACCTAGCTTTTTTTGGCTACCTAACCTAACCTTACCTATAAATATAGGTTAGGTTAGGTTAGGTTAGGTAGGGTTGGTTAGGTTCGGTCATATATCTACGTTAATTTTAACTCCAATAAAAAAAAATTGACCTCATACATAGAGAAAAGGGTTGCTTTATCATTTCATAAGAAAAAAATTATAGTAAATATATTAATTCAGGAAAACTTGGCTTATTAGGCAAATCGGGCCTTGAATAGTAGGCTGAGAAGTGAGTTCTGGCTACTAGGTACGACATATATATATATATATATATATATATATGCATGCATGCTCACAGATAGAGGTTTTGTTTAATATAAATTTCCCATAGCTCTGAAATCAACAGAGTTCATCATTCATTTTTTATTATTATTTACAGATGTATGACCAGTATCTAGAGGGACACTATGGTATCTTGGAGGGCTTGGAGTCTTCATTCCGCAAGAACCGGCGATTTGAGCAGGTTTATCGAGATTTTGAAATGCAGAAAGTTTGCTACTTGCCTCTAACTTCCTTCATTCTGAAGCCACTTCACCGTCTTCAGCATTATCATCTTCTCCTTGATCGTGAGTGCATACTTCTTTCTGATTTTGTGTATGTACATTTCTTTAATGCCCTGCTTTCCTTTCAAGCCTGCCACAAAATGTATCAGTCCTTCTGCTGCCTGTTACTAGATGGGAGGAAAGATAAAAGGAGTACTGTGTCCAAGGACCAGGATGACTCAGGCAGCGCATGAGCAGGCCGGAGGTGAAACAAAGCTCGAGAAAGCTTACGGAACGGGGCAAAAGAGACATCCATCCCGAACACAAGCTGGACCGGCTCCACAAGTTCCTCATGATACGAGGCGACAGTATTAGGCTTCAAATGACGGTTCTGAAAAATCCAAGACAGAAAGGACAATCAACCCAATCTGAAATAGAAGACAACCTACAAGGAGATGGGAAAATAGTGGATAGAATGCCAAGAAACTTCATACTGTCGCTGAGACAAAGCTCTCAGGTGGGACACCATCAACGTAGCCACTTGATCACCATACAAATGGTGATAAACCCTCTTCAAAAAGACCAGGTACTGTAACCCCGCGATTATCCGGGATTCGAACATCCGAAAAACGCCCTTATACGGCCAAAATCGTGAACGGATAAAGTTATCACAATATCCGGCCAAAATAGCCACAGGGACCGGATTAAAGCAGGTTTTCTGCAGAAATTACACTATCCGGTCAGTCCCCCAGATAATCGTGCCTTTGTCCGTATATGAAAACATGAGGCAGGCCATACGGTATTAATCCCGTCTGCCCGAGACTCGAGGCGCATGGTGTAGGTGGGGGTGGGGTGGGTGGGTGGTGTTGGGAGGGTGGGAGGGGTGCGTCAGGAGGGACTACCTGGGTACAGGAATTACCAATAATTTTAGAACAATTAATCATAGCCAAAAACAAATAAAATAACTACTAGTAATTATGTAATAACAAATAAATAAGTTTCCTAAAAGCATTGTGCACAGGCTGAAGTTTCCTTAAAAAATATTGTGAATTTTTTTCCTCCTGGCGGCCTACGTAACGCTATGGCTACCCCAAGTGGACCTGTCCAACACTGGTCAACCCATGTGCGTCCGTCCCTCGTGTTATACACAGTGCTGCGCCATTAGTGAAATATTTTTTTAAATAACTTTTTTATTTTCATAGTAACTTTGAACATTTTTGGCCAAGACTATGTCTGGTAGCAGCATCAATCGTTCTGGAGGTGTTAAGAGGAAGAAAGTTGTCCTAACAATTAAAGACAAGTCACAGTTATACGCCTCAACCAGTGCGGCCTCACAGTGTTGCGCCATTAGTGAAATATTTTTTTAAATAACTTTCTTAATTTTCATAGTAATTTTGAACATTTTTGGCCAAGAATATGTCTGGTAGCAGCATCAATCGTTCTGGAAGTGTTAAGAGGAAGAAGATTGTCCTAGCAATTAAAGACAAGTTACGTGTTGTTCAAACAGTGAGGCGTCACAGGCAGCCAAGCGCCTTCAACAAGTGAGGCGCCACAGGCAAGCCAAGCTCCTTCAACAAGTGAGGCATTATAGGCAAGCCAAGCGCTTTCAACAAGTGAGGCGCCACAGGCAAGCCAAGCGCTTTCAACAAGTGAGGCGCAAGCAAGCGCCTTTAACAAGTGAGCCGTCACAGGCAAGCCAAGCGCCTTCAACAAGTGAGGTCATGCAAGCGCTTCAACAAGTGAGGTGCAAGCAAGCACCTTCAACAAGTGAGGCCTCACAGGCAACCCAAATGCCCTCAACCAGTGAGGCTTCAGCAGCTGGCAGTCAAAACTAACTTAGCTTAATGAACTGTACAGTAATTTTAAGTGTTAATTTTAGTGTTGTGTTAGTATAGGTTACGTAAATTGTTAAGAATTTTTAACTTAAAGATGTGTGGCATCAATCAAGAAGACGAACACCAACAAGGTAAGTTGAGGTTTCTAGTTGAATATTTAATAATTGTATGTGGCAAGGCAATTCAAATTATGTTGTTTTTAGTATAAAAATAGTTGGAAATGGTCATTTTTGGACTCGTAGGTGAAAAAGTACCATTATCCGAAAAATGTGATAATCCGGCTGGGGGTCCTTCCCATATAGTCCGGATGATCGAGTGGAGACAGTACAAAGAGCAGAGGAGAAGACCGAACCAGCCGTGTACTGGACCTGTCCCACCTGCTGGAAGAGGCGGAGCCATGGGAAACATCCCGGGTTTGCACATCGAGCAAGTAGCACCTGGAATCAAGGCTGAGCTGGCCACCAAGGGGACACGAGGACTATCTCCCTTGGTAGGACTAACTGAGCTAGAACCTGAAGCAACAGCTGGACCGGGGAAAAGAGGTATAGGTAACCCCACCTCGACCAGTCCTGCCAAAAAGCGTCCACTGCGAGAGCCTCACAGTTGGGAAAGGGTGCCACATAGATTGGAAGACGCCAAGACCATGCCGAAGCGAAGAGATTCATGTTCGGGAGTCTGTATGTAAGGCAGAGCCAACAGAAGGAGTCTGCGTCGACCATCCATTCCGTGGACAGAGGAATGAACCGAGACAGGCCATTTGCCAGGACTTTGGACACTCCCTGGAAATGAACCGCATGGAGAGCCATACCCCAAGAAGCCAGTAGATGAGCCACTCAAAGTGACCAGCTCCAAAAAGGCAAGGACTGAAAAGAACCTCTGCAGTTCAGGCAATGAACCACTTGAGAACAGTCTGAATGGAGCCAAAGGGTCGAATCCCGAGCAACCTGAACCCTCCGAAGCGAAAACCAAACCACTGTGAACTCCCTCACCATGCTGTGAGCTCAACGGAAGGACAGGCCCCATCGCCCCTGGCTGGCCTGGTGAGCACTGGTCACAAAGCCCCAGCCGAGAGACGACGTGTCCCTGAACATATCGAACGAGGGTTTGGGTAGGCACCAAGGCACAGAGCCCCGAAGAGGAAGCCGATGACACAGTAGCTGATGCAATGGACCCGGAGGACGAACCCAGTGATCGCAATTGCAGAGGAAAGGGCATCCCCTGAGGAACCAGAACAGATGCCGAAACCAAACACAACCCAGTGGATAGACGAGCACAGCGAAGTTCAAAGATTGCGCACAGCTGCTCGAGCAATTACCGAGTGACCTGGGACCCCCCCCCACCCACACCCCAGAAATAGCCGAAGATAGGACCGGAGCTGCAGCAACGTATCTGGAGGGAGAGAGATGGAAACTGTCCAAGAGTCCCAAACAAAACCCAGCTAGGTCCGTAGCTGGGACAGAACTAGATGGAACTTCCTCCAGTTCACCAGGAACCCAGCGAGCTGGAAAAGAACCACACCCCTGGCAATCAGACCCACACTAGCCAGTTAGTCTAGTTAGTCTAACCAGTTACTAGCCAGTTAGCCACACACTAGTCTAGTGTGTGGTCTGGTCAACATACTTTAGCCACGTTATTGTGACTCATCGCCTGCACTAGCCAGTTGTCGATGTAGGCCAGGATCCAAACCTCTTTGCAGAGGCAGATGACTCCGGGTAAGACACGTGAATAAGCGAGGTGCCAGATTCAATCCAAAAGGATGGTAATGAAAGTGGTAATCCTGAAGCCCCACCACGAAACCTAACCAGTCCCTGAATCTTGGATAATAGAAATGTGCCAATACGCCTCCTTGAGGTCCAGGGACACCATCCTGGCACCCAGCTCCCAGTAAGAAGCCGGACCTGAGACAGAGTGGTCATCTGAAAGAAGGGGCATGGAATCCAGGGGGTTCAAACGGGACAAATCCAAAATGAACCTCAGATTCGCACAGTCCCGTTTCGGCACTTGAAACAGGTGGGAAACCCATCAGAGGGACGGAGTTGTTTCGACCACGCCCAGGGGCACCCACTCCAAGATGACCCAACGAAGCGCAGGGTAAGAAGCCTGCCTGGCCAACCCTGAACTCAATGATGGGGAAGGAGCCGCCCAATGCCACCACAGCAGGCTGGATGACATGACCGAAAATGATTACATATCGTGGGACCAAGCGTGAGCAAACAGAGCAAGACTCGTCCCCTCAAAGGACCGAACAGTGAAAAATACGATGCCCCTTAAGAGAAGCCTGTTACCTAGCAGTAAATAGGTACTCGGGAGTTAGTCAGCTGTCACGGGCTGCTTCCTGGGGGTGGAGGCCTGGTCGAGGACCGGGCCGCGGGGACACTAAAAAGCCCCGAAATCATCTCAAGATAACCTCAAGATAAGAAGCCCACAACCAAACAGAGCGATCAACTCGCCAACCAGACGACACCGGCACCGACGGCAATGTCAACTCAGAAGTTGGTGCCAATGGCCCACCTAGACCAGCGGAACCCTGAGTCCAGGCATGACTCTTCTGAGGAGGTCGAGAATGGCCACCCCAGAGAACCAACAAGTTCGACATAGGGCGACAACTAGATGAAGCTGCCTGCAGAAACTACGTGACAGCAGTCTCCGCAAACAGCAACGGACAAAACAGAAATGAAACCCTAAGAGCCAGGGCCCAAGTAGATTCCAAAGAGAGAGAGAGCAAGCACAGCCTGATGGCACACGAGGCAAGAAGCAAAGAACAGACACACTACCTCCTTCAGGATAGGCACAAACAGCTTCAACAGTGTGGCTGATGCCCTAGCCGCTAAGGACAGCACACCAGACGAAGGCCCAGCTCAACGCCTCCACATCCTCCTCAAGCCCGGCAGAAGACAGCTCAAGAAGGGAAAGAAGCGCAAGACCGAAGCTAAATGCCCACAGGTCATGCAAATCCTCTGCAACCATGGATGCTGAAAGGGTAGGAACCTACACGTGCAGCTGCACAAGGCCAACATCCCAAGAAAGCATAGGGGTGAACAGGCATGCATTAATGCGCTCAGATTCTCCCGCCAGGTAAACCTGCAGAACGGTAGATGTTTCTTGCCACTTAAACGTGTGTAACTGACAGAACCCATGCCACACCCCCCAATGAAAAGAAAGGGCAGTCTGCCCTCTGGAACCTCCAAACGCACCCAATACGGGGAAGAAGAACCGAATTCAAATAACGCCTTGAGGGTCAAGGGCTTCCCTTTCCTCCTCCCGGGAAGGGGGGAGTTGCGCAGACAGCAACATAGCAGCTGTGGTGACGTCACTCTTGTTTGCTTGCTTTTGATTTGGGAGTTCTGCTTACTAGTTCGGCTATCAGTTTGCAATTATTAACCAGCTGTAGTTTGTTTTGGAATTCCTACCTTTCTGGGTGCCTGACCTGGTAGATGGCAGACATAGATTGCTTCCAATTACACAGGGGTGTCTAGAGGCCATTGCTCCTCATGCCTCTCTGAGGGGGCCAGATTCTGGTGCTGGTCCCCAGTAGGCCTAGAACTCCATCGATTGACTGTTGCCATGGTGTAATATATACACATCAACCCGGTATAGCTCCGGGGAGCCTCCGGTCTCACCCAGAAAATGGCGTTTTATTACATTCAACATTGTTTTTTACAACACTAGTTCTCTCTAGAGAAGATTATTATTGCACACTAACCGCCCCTTTCAAAACTGCAGAAATTGCCTGACTTGGAGAGCATGCAAAGATCCTTTACTGCTAGAAATCCACTATAAATCATCTAAATTATTGGGGCCAAGTTTTGCCAGCCTGTGATATACCCTCTGGCCCCATGATTTTCATAAGTTTGCAGGCCTGACCTCAGTATTTTCTAACATGTCAAGGGCTGATAACTAGGGTTTAATACCTGGTCAGTGTTTTTGGTCCTCTTTCGGGTTGGGCCCTGGTGTCTCCATGATCCCTTTTCTCTTGCCTACCAGGTGCAATGATTTGTTGTTCTAGGCTCCAGACTGAGGAATATTGACATGAGAGCCAGCAGCTCCTGATGTTGCTGCTGCCACCAGTCGGTGGTCAGCAATAACTTGGGAAGGATGGGGGGGGGAGTTACACTGACTACTGGGTGAACTTCAGTTCCAAAACTAATTGTATTTTATTTACTTCAGTGTTTAGATGTCAATATTCAGAACATTAGTGCTTGAATTTTTAGCCCTTCTGTTAAGGTAGCATTCTTATTCTTTAACTTATTTGTTGTTTATAAAGAAAACTATTTTTGTAGGATTTATCACCACTTAGTGATAAGATTACTAAGTGATGATAAAATCTTAGTGATTAATTACTGATAATTAATTCCATTAATTATTATTAATTGAATTTACATTACAGGTCTAGTGAAACACTATGGTAGTGCAAACCATCATGACTACCGAGAGTGCATGACTGCAAAAGCCAAGCTCAATCAAGTCATCAAGGGCATGGTTCCTTCTCTGGCTGCCTCGGTAAGTTTTTAAAATTAGTATTGCATTTTTGGAGAGCGCCCCTTGTGGCTCCCTGAAGCTACTGCACTGTGTACCAATTACTAGTTCGCATCACCCACAGAGTTATTTTGTCCTACTGGGGATCAGAGCCAGAACCCTGCTCCCTCAACAGAGGCATCGAAAGCAGTGATATTTTGATATCACCACTGGGTAAGCAACCAGAAACGAAGTGAGCCAAAACAAACCACTACTGGCCTTAGTAGAGACTGCAACCTCTTGAAAATGCTGAAAGAACTCCCTCAACTATGTAAACAAATGATAGAAATCTTGTGAAACTAGTGCAAGCTCATTCGTGTCCCTCCCACTCGTTGGGGGGGTGGGAGGGGCAGTGGCTCACGACCAGCCAGAGCCACCACCCTTAGTTCTTCACTGATGGTAGTGTGTGTACCAGGTTGCCGCTCTCCTGCTCTGGCTCCAGTGATTGTTTTCAGCTCAGTGGTGGATTTTGACTTTGTTGGCTGTTTCTTACACTGTGGTGCAGCATGAGCCAGGCATTGAGTGCGCTTGGAGCTGCAAGTACACAGGGTTATCTTCTCTGTGTGGTCCCTAGTGCTGCCCTTGTGCTGTCAAGGTTATCTTCCCTAGAGTGTTCTGAGGGCTTACCTCACTTGTGGTGGTCTTCACCTAGGGTAACCCAGGTCCCTTGGGGTGTTTTGTCTTGACTCGGATGAAGAGTGACATTGGCTGGTGCAGTGCACTGGGTATTTACCGCTGCACTACAGCATGCCGAGGTCGGCCTTCACAGCCACATGAACTAGGCTGTGTGGGCTTACTAATATATTCCAAGTGTCCAGCATTGTGTCCCAATGACTGGGTGCCCTGGTTCAATTACTCTTCAGGTCCTGGAAATCCCCTGTAGGTTTTGGTGGTCCCATAGATATTCCCCCTGAACCTGCTCTCAATTCATGTGAGCTTGAGAGTTGTACATTGTCCATGCCATGTGGCAATGTTCATTCCTATTGCCTCCACCATGCTGCCTGTTGGGTTGGTGACACCTTCTACCTTGAGTCTTGTGGAGGTTTTCCCCCCCATGTGACTCCTTTCTGACCCTCCCATTGAGGTTAGGGCTTTTTAGACAGCAACCACTTTCATTATAGGTTTGCTAAGTTGCAGTGGTCTAGGTTATGTGCCCTATTGAAGGCCCTAGAGCTGCCCCATTTAGTGTTTAGGGAACCAGAATTGGAGGTGTTAAAATCTATGCTGTTCTATCCACACCTTCTCTTCCTTCAGGAAGACATGTTTCACCCTTCCTCTGATTCCTTTCATTATGCTTCCAGCCTCAAAGTGTCTTGGGGGTTTTGGGATCAGGTTGCAGTTGAACTGATTTATTCTTTGCCTCCCTCCTTCAGGATAAGTACTTTATCCTTTGTCTGCTTCATACTTGAAGCGGGCAATTGGATGATTTCCCTGGATCTTGGAGACATGTATTGGCGTATCCCTATACATCTGGGTCTCAGGAATTGGTTAGGCTTTGTTGTGAGGCAGCAGGCTTACCACTTTCATGTTCTCCCATTTTGGCTCAATCTAGCTGCATGGGCATTCACTCACTTGGGTCAAGTTGTGGTGGCTCATCTTTGTTTATTGGGAATGGGGGATTATGGCCTACCTTGATGACTGGTTGGTGTGGGCTCCTAGCATGACTGCATGTCTGCTAGCCAGAGATCTGGCTTTTTTCCCAGCTCATTGGTTATAGGTTCCTGGTGAAAGGGCATGTGTCAGAATTGGTTCTCAATTGGTTCCGTCCCAGGTTCAGACTTGGCTGGGCCACGGGTGGGACTCTCTCAGCACCACCATCTGTTGGTGTTTTGGCCTTGGGGTACTCTGAGGTTGCTCAAGCGGTTGTGTGGAAAGCTGAACATTGGCTGCACAAAACCTCTGGGTAAGGTTTGACTTTGGCGGCTGTTCTGATATCTCCAGGGCAGCCTCTTTCACCATTGCTGCGATCAATGAGTGTAGATTCCATTAGCCTTGTATTGGTTGTTGCATTGTCAGCTTCCTCTTCAGGCATTTTAAGGTACAGTTACCTAGCTCCTTCCCCCACCTTTGCTTAACATCTTCACAGATGCCATAGCGCTAGGTTGGAGCTTTGTGACCAGTGGTTACCAAGCCAGCCAGGCTCAATGGCCTCCTCTCCTCCTTCTGGCTCTTGGTATGGTTCAGGAGTTTGTGGCCAATGTGTTGTGGAGTGTTTGGATTCCGTTAGGCTCCATACTCCAGCTCCATTCAGACTGCTTCCCCCTGTTGTTCATTGTCTCAACTGGGGAGGTTTACTGTGGTCCCCAACTCTTTGGAGCTGGATGCTTTGTGTAGCTTTTCTGCTTGGTTCTTACTGACAGTCTGTCCCAATTCCTTCCCGTCTCCAAAGAGTGGATCATCTATGCCTCTTTCATTCATTAGCTTTATGAGACGTTTGGACACCAAGACGTAGACCTCTGTGTTGGCGTAGTCTTAACACCTTACATGGCACCATTTCCTGATTGCGAGGCCCTTACAGTGGATGCCTTTCAGCTAGACGGGTCAAGATGGGGGTTTCAATATCTCTTTTCCCCCTTTGTCTGACTATTGCTCCAAGTACTGGCCAGGATAGAGTCCTACCAGAAAAGAGTGGTTCTTCTGGCTCCATGGTGGCCAGCTCAGTCTTGGTTTCTCATTCAACCTCCATTGAATGTTATGATATGCCAATTTGTCAGCGAGCCCCAGTGGTTCCCTGACACCCTCCCTCCATCCCTCCAGGTAATCGGGAGGTCGGTTACATCTGCCATGGAACTGAAGGCGGTGTGGCTGGCTCACCGCCAACTGTCCCCTCCTTCCCCCAAGTGAGTGGGTGAGATGGGACGAACTGACTTGCACTAGTTTGGAGAGATTTCAATTATTTGTTTATGTAATTGGGGAGTTCTTTCAGCATTTTTAGAGGCTGAGGTCTCTATTAAAGCCAGCAGTGGTTTGTTTTGTTTCACTGACTTTCTGGTTACTATCCTGTTGGTGGCATAAATAACTACTGTACTTAAATGTCACTGCTCCCGGCACCTCTTGAGATGGGGTTATGTTCAGGCTTTGCTCCCCAGATGGCCAGTAGACATCTTTACCTGATGCGCCTGAAGTAGTGGTACACTATTAGCTATAGTAGCTTCAGGGAACCACCGGATTTTATCCTAAAACTGGCATTTCTTTACATTCATTGTTGTTTTCTGTGAGGGAGCCCCGTCGGCTCCCAGGAGTTATTGAACTGATATTAGCTAATATTAGTATGGGGCTTCAGTCATATAGAGTTGTCATGCCTACCAGGGACCACTAGCCAGAATATGGTCCCCTCAGAGAGGTGCAGGGAGCAATAACATATGAAACTCTCATGTTTGAAAGTATTAATCGACCGGGGTTGAGCACCCAGAAAGGTAGGTGCTCCAAAACAGACCCCCTCCTGGTAGAAAAATTGCAACCCGAGACCGAACAGAGACTAGAAACTTCCCCCATGGAAAACGCGCTAACAAGAAACACGTCATCCCACCACGGGCCGCTCGTTTGTGCCGACCCCGGGAGGGGAATCCAGACCTACCGAGCCAGCAGCCTGACCATCAGTTTGTCGACTGAAGCTGAACGGTTCATTCCCCTGCCCACGGAATGTACGGTTGACACCAACTCGTTCAGTTGGTTCTGTCAGACGTTCAGGCCCTTAAAGGTAAACCTCTTCTTGTCAGCGTGGTTGAAGCATCTCCCCATCCATGTGGCGCCCTTCTCTGACTACGAGGCCGTTGCAGTAGACGTTTTTCGGCAGGACTGGTCAAGGTGGGATTACTTGTACCTCTTCCCCCCCGGTTCAGCTGTTGCTTCGGGCTCTGTCTCAGCTCAAGTCTTATTGGGGAAGGGTTCTCCTATGGTGGCCACCCCAGCCTTGGTTTCAGGCGCTGCTTGCTTGGTGTTGGAACCCGGGGCTGTTTTCGCTGCTCCGCCTCTTTCAGCAGATCGGGTCAGTGATGTACCTTGTTGGTTTGCTCTACTCTTCCGCACTTCACATCTGGAGTTTTTGTTGCGGGTGTATCACCATCTGTATGGTGATCAGGTGGCTTCTCTAATGGTGTCCCATCTGCAATCATCTTCTCGGCAGCAGTATGAAGTGTCTCTTGAGGTCTTTTCACCACTTCCTTTTCCTGCGTAGGTTGTCTTTGGTTTCGGTTCGTGTTGTGTTGCTTTTTCTTTCTTGACTATTTCAGGACAGGCATCTTATGCCGAATACTGTCGCCTCGCATTGTGTGGCACTGGCAGAACCGCTCCTGCTTGCGTTCGGGTTCTTTCGCTGCTCTCCAGGTTCCGGTTCCTGATGAACTGGAGGAAGTCCCATCTGGTTCCATCTCAGGTTTAGACTTGGCTGGGCCTTGTCTGGGATTCACGGACAGTGCCCTTGTCTCTTCCTCAGGCGGTTTTGCTCCAGCTGCAGTCCCACAGTTGGCTGTTTCTGAGGGGTCTGGGGTCACCCGGCGGATGCTCGATCAGCTGTGCAGGAGTTTGAACTTTGCCATGAACATTTACTCATTGGATCAGGTTTGGCTCTTCTGGTTCCTTCAGGGCCGCCCCTTCCGCTGCTCTCGCTATCACTTGGTTTGTCCCCCGGGAGCTTTGCATCGGTTTCTGCGTCTCCTGCTTCCTCTTTGGGTTTTTTCAGGGTTCTGTGTCTTGGCGTCTCCCTGAGCCCTTGCTCGATGTGTTCATGAATGCCTCCTTTCTGTACTGGGGCTTTGTGACCAGTGCTCACCGGGCTGGCCAGGGGTGGTAGGCTCTATCCTTCCATTGGGCTCACAGCACGGTGCAGGAGTTCATGGCGGTGTGGCTTGCACGGTGTCGGATTCGGCTCTTTCAAGGCGCTACGATCTGGCTTCATTCGGACTGCGCTCCAGTGGTTCATTGCCTGAACCAAGGGGAGGTCTATGGGGTCCTTGGCTCTTTGGAGCTGGTTGCTTCGGGTGGCT